GCAAAACATATATACACCAATAAAAATAAAATTTAAAAATAATTATAATAATTGGAACTTTTCTTATTAGTTTTTATACTGACGGTCAGGTAATGTTTCTAACTTACATAAATCTGAAATTTATTATAATTTAGTGGAGAAAACATAGAAAAAGCTTCTTGATTCTGGACTATTTGGTTCCAATTGACAAATCATAAGAATTTGGTTAAGGCACTTCCATAAAATTCATTTAATTTTTAAAATAGAAATCAATAGAGTTAATTTTTCATCCGTATAGAACCGGACAATGTAACCGGATGTATACCTATAAAACAATGACAAATGTGATGTATAGATATATAAGAAGTATAATATTGGTGGGCTCGAATATTAGGCGTTCATAACATTATGTCCATTGACGAACTATTGTACTTCTACCGTTGCAATAACTTCCGAAGAATTCTTTTCACTTCAACTGTAATGAAATTTCAACTACATTTTTGATGTAAAGGAGGTCCGCTGATTAAAAGGTTTATTTATTTTATTTTATATGTAGTTAATCACATGTTTAGTTTAAAATAAAAAATGTATATTATTGTAATGAGTACAAGATTTAAAAATTTTATTGTCTAGTTTATCGGTAAGACAGAGTACAATAAATAATGTTTAAAGTACTATATAAACAAAACGGACTGATATTCCAGAAAAATCGATCGCTGTTTGACCACTCAGACTATTGAATCAATTCTTTGAGGAAAATTTTTCTGTTACGTTGTATAAGAGGAAGACATTGAAGCATGTCCAAGCAATAATGTAAGAATGTTTCGTCGGTTTTCGAAAATCTAAACTGCACGTTATGTTTATTTAGTTTTTCTAATGATATTCATGATATTATGATATTAACTCTTCATCTTCAAGTAGTTCGGTAAAAAGAGCTTTGAATAGCAAAAACCTTTCCTGTCAGATTACGTGTGGTGAGCTTTATTGGTGAATTCAGATTTCATCAGACTTTCTATTTTCTAATTAGTAATTTCTGCTAACTCTACAATTGGCCATAGTCCATATATAGTAGCTTTGATAGATGATATACTTGGATACCAAAGTGCGATTTGTTTAGAAATAAATGAACGATAGATTATTGCTCTATTTTAGGTCCAACATTTTAAAAGTCTTACTAGCTAGATAATAAAGAGTTGCACATCAGATAATACAGATAAATACTAAATACTTCTTAAAACAACAATTGGAGCTCAATAAATTTGAAATAGTGAAAAAACTCAAACTCTTTAGAATCAAATTCTACTAGAAATCTCTTTTTATTGTAAAAAGAAAATATATAAATATGCTTAAGTCAAAACAAATGTGACCCAGTTTTCAAATACGAATGCAAGTTCTATAGTCTTCATTTTTCACCTAAAGTTTTTTCGGTGAAATGATGCTTGAACTATTATGGAACCTTAAGTCCTAAAGAATAAGGCTTCTGGATAATATGATAAGAATGTTTAATGAAAGAGTCATAGCAAAGAACTAGAAAAACCGCCTTTCAAGAGTATCAATGCAGTAAAATCTTAGTAAAATCTTAGAAGGTCTGACCATACAGAGTTTTGCTTATAATAATAATAAAAATACAGGAGTTATAAAATTTCACAATATTTCTTCAAAATGTGATATCCAAATATTTCCAAGGTACCTTTTTGTTTTTAAAAATAATGTAGATCATTTCAATTTCTGAGAGAGCTGTTATGTATGTCAGTCACGATTTTCCATAGAAAATATACACAAACGACATATTTTACTAATAAAAAATTATATTAATACCAACACTACCCAGAATTTTTCCAATCGGCAAAGGTTCTATTATTGATTTCATATTAACTAATGGTGTATTTTAAAAAACACTAAACCCAGTGGTTTAATGCAATTATAGGAAACAAATGAGTTTGCAACGTCATAATGTAGTATTTCACCACGAATGCTAAGACAGTTGCCGGTTCGATTCGATAAAGGTCGGTTCAGTGTTTCAGCGTGTCGTGTCGGGTTTATTATAAGTATTACTAAATTAACAATTTAATTCATTTATTAGAATAAAAATATATATTATTTTGTAAAAATATGTATAAACAATATATAAAACTACTGCCAATTTAATTTATTTAAAAATTATAGACAAAATGTGTAAATGAAATGTGATTTTGTAGTGAATAAATATTTGCTTATTGTTTTTTCTTTAATGTGTGGTTAAAGTATAAATAATAATGTTTATAAAAAAAAACTAAAACAAAAGCAAAAACAACAACAACGTGTAAAAGTATACAGAATATTCCGTTATTTGCACGCAAAACAGACAACGAAGAATATTGCATTTTTTAATAAAAATGATTGCACGAACAAAAAAACAAGATAGGTGAAGTCAATTTCAGTCACCTCCGCTGTGATCAATCATATTTACTACAGCAACAATAGCAACAGCAGTTGTGGTGAAAAAGAGAAAACAAAGGTTTTAGTGTAAGGGGCAGTTACTTTTTTCATAGTGGTTTGTTAATTTCGAAAAATTGTGGACAAATGTTTATAGTAATGAATTTATTGCGATAGTTTATGGAAATAAAATATAAAACTACAAAA